TGGTTTAACGTGGAATGCCTTTCGTCGATGCGATAGAGTGACGAACGTTCTTTGTCGTGAACGTTTCCCCGCTCGATATTACCTCGGGGAGAAAATTGCATTCGTAGCGAATTCAAAGCGACGACAAATCGTCGTGTCATTGACGGGTCGCCACAGAGTGTGGTTTTTCTAGCGGAAACCCAGTGTCGAATTCCATCGATTTGATTCAGTCCCGAAGGTTGAGCCTTGAGCAGCCTGTGGTCCTCTCGCTCGACCAGGAAGAATTTCACGCTCGCATCGAAATTTACTCCAATCCCTCTCTTCCCTCGTTTCCAAGAACATTGAAATTTCGACTCAAACGCTTGAGATTAATTTCATTACTTGCCTACGTATGCGTCAATGTTTTAAAGATTTTCGTGTCTTCTTCGAGTACTTGCTTCTTGTTCGATTGAAATTTTTTTACCGAGAGTATCTATAGTTGCACAATGTTATTTTTGAATATTTATAGTAATTTGTAGCAATTCGTTTGAACGTTTATAGTAATTTATAGTACAATAAAATCCAAAAAGTTTGTATGCATTACATTCATTTGATCAACAGTTTAGACAACGTCGAATTATACGAACTCCGACGTTGGTTGAACCGACGAATTAATTTTATTTAGCCTGCGTATGCGTATTTCAAGGAGAACGTTTAAAGATTTCAATGTCTTCGAGTACTTGCATTCGATTGAGAATTTTTTACCAATCTTCGTTTATTTGATCGACAATCAGTTTAAACAACGTCGAAGATAAAGATGAGCTTCAGAGAAAGTCAGATAACGAGAAGAATATTATAAACAGAAACAGAGTTCCCTCGTACAGTTTCATTCAAGAAGCTCTTTTCTATCTTCGTTAATTCTTTATCTCGTACGCGTTGCTTCAAAGAAAGACTCACGCACGTGTCGATTTAATTTAGCGTTGCTGGAGCTAAATTCTTTTTTTCTTTTTTTCTTTGCGACATTATTCCTTTCCTTTATAACACGTTTCGTTTAATTCTTCGCGTTCTTGCGCCAGGCCAAAGCATCTTTCCGTTTAAACCGTTAGCTTAACGTCTGACCGGAAACTTGCATGGTACTTGATACTTTGCGAGGTAAAATTGTACAAAACCGTGTACGTTTGCGTGGGTTGTTTCGTCGTTGTTTATTATGAATAGACGCGTGCACTGTGTATCCAGCCGGCTGCAAGGAAACAAGATGTGTCTGTTACTTGCTTTTTACATTTTTCAATACCTTCGTTTTTGTTTTTTTCTGTCTTGTGTAATTCCTCTTGCGCGATACGTATAGGTTATTCTCTTTTGAAACACAAATAAGCCTAAGAGTGGAATATAATTTTATACCTCCTGTTTTATATTAAAAGATCAATCTTATATTGAAAATAATCATATATTAAATCTACAATCTTCGACTGAAAGAAAAAATAAAATGATCGACGATTCCATCGTATACGTTTACTAAATGTACTGCAAGATTAAAGATCAAATTACACGATGTTCGTTAAAACTGCATGCGAGTAACAAGCAATGAAAATACTCGAAACGTTAACGTTGGA